TGTTCTATCTGCATGTACCCCTGCCTGCCAGAAGAGGGCACCAGATCTTATTATAGATGGTTATGAGCCACCATGTGGTTGCCAGGAACTGAACTCAGGACCTCTGGAAAAACAGCCAGTGCTCTTAACCTCTGAGCCATCTCTCCAGCCCTTCTGTTCCTATTTTAGAGAGGAGAGTTTCAAAATGGTGTAGAAGCCCAGGACTAGGAGGAATCCTGTCACTGAGGTCCCTAGTTGAGGGATTAACCAGAGCCTGTCTCTACGGAGGTAGGGCTAGAGTTACTATGCTCTTAGGTTAAGAATTATGTCACTAGGTCGGGCTTGGAGGCACATGCCTTTAATCCTAGCAGAGGCAGAGGCGGTTAGATCCTGTGAATTCAAGATCATTCTGGTCTATATAGTGAATTCCTATATAGTGGGACCCTGGAGAGAGGGGTCAAGGGAGGAAGAGAGGGATGGAGCAGAGAATGAATTGTGTCACTACAGATATTTCAGTCATAATGTAAATGAAATAAGAAAGTGTGGGTCTGGGGCTGAGATAGGAACATTCCAGACTATGCAAAGGGACAGAGGCTAAATTGTTGTCGATATGCTGGGTGGATAGTGTTCCTGTGTGTGAGAGTCTGTGGAGGCATGCCATGTGTATGCAGGTGCCCTTGGAAGCCAGAAGAGTGCGTCTCATTTGCCTGATGTGGGTGCTGGGAACTGAACTCTGGTCCTCTGTAAGGTGCTCTTAACTGCTGAACCATCATCTCTCAGCCCATTTTATTTTTGAAACAGAGTTTCTCTGTGTAGGCCTGACTGTCCTGCAATTCTCTCTGTAAACCAGACAATCCTTGAACTCAGTGATCTTTCTGCCTCTGCCTCCCTAGTGCTGGGATTAAAGGTGTGTACCACCACCATATCCTGGCTAAGGTGGGTATTTGTTGAAGTATTGTATTTTAATGTCAGCACCAGCAGCCTGTTAGAAGTGTAAATTTTGGAACCATTCCAAACCTACTGAGCCAATGAGCAGCTAGTAACCTGTTTTAAAATCGACTCTCTAGGGGCTCGAGAGATGGCTCAGCGATTGCAAGCACTGGCTGCTCTTGCCGAGGACCTGAGGCAGGTTCCCAGTACCCACATGGTGGCTCACAACTCCAGGTTGTTTGTAAACCACTTTCCAAACTGGTGTCTGGAGCTCCAGTTTCCGGGGACTAGGGTGCCCTCCTCTGACCTTTGAACCCTGCGTCCCGTGCTGCACATACTTACATGCAGTACAACACGCACAACGTAAAATGCATCTGAAAAGTTACACACGTTCTCCAGAGGTCGGTACAAAGTGCACTGCGGTTTAAGAGGCCTTGTGTTAAACGGCACTGGAAGCCCTGGGGTTGGGGCCGGGTGAGAGAGGGGAGATCTTAGAACACAAGGTTGGCGAGCTAGCCAGGGGCCAGCTGACCAAGGTCTGGTGGCCTGTTGTAAGAACTTGGCTGCTTTGTGAGTTGGGGCCTGTGGAAAAGTTTTGAGCAGAGGAGTGATGTGACCTAATAGGCAGTCTTCACTGATTGTTTTGATTGTTGGGTTGACACATGGGCCAAGTGTCCAGTCTGTTGCTATAATGTAGGCTAAAGGTGGTGTTGATTTGGATTATGGTGGCACCAGTGGATGTGGTGAAGTCGGTGGGACCTAGAGCTAATTGCCAGAGAATGACAGAAGATTGGCGAGTAGTCACTCCACATTCTCATTACCTGAAAAGGTAAAACAACTAGTTAGTAGATGGAAAAGTGCTAGCTAGTGGCACTGAGCTGTGATCATAGTCGTCACCTAGAGAGGCTGATCTCACACATGTGAAGCTGAGTTTGTCATCCTCAGACGGTCGCTGGTAAAGTCACTCCATGCTAGTGACTTCTCGGAACATCCCTAACCTCACCATCTCCACTCTCTGTTGCTGCTCTCACGTCTTTTGTTCTTTTTCGCCTACTTTTCATTTCTTTTCCTTTGCTCTTTTTCATAATTTAAAGGTTTAAAAATATTTAATTGAAATATTTTTTCCTTTTTCTTCCTTCTATCCCCTCCCATGTCTGCCCCCACCCATACTTCCTCCCAAATTCATGGTCTCCTCTTTTTTTTTTTTATTTAAATATGCATTGGTGTTTTGCCTGCATGTCTGTCAGTGTGAGGGTGTCAGAACCCCTGGAGCTGGAGTTATGGACAGTCTTGAGCTGCCATGTGAGTGCTGGGAATTGAACCTGTGTCCTCTGGAAGAGCAGCCGGTGCTCCCAACCGCTGAGCCATCTCTCCAGGCCCATGGGCTCCTCTTCTTTAACCCTTGTTGTTATGTAGACATATAAACACACAGAGAAACACAGCTTGCTGAAGCCTTTCAGTATTTCCTGGATGTACATGTTTCTAGGGCTGACCACTTGGTACTGAATAACCAATCGGGAGACTCATCCCTGGAAGACTGATTTTCCTTCTCTCAGCAGTTGGTACTTGTTGTGCCTCTACGTCTAGGGGTGAGGCCCTGTACGACTTTCCCTATCTACATTGTGACAGCAGCTGGTAATAGAATTGTTCAGGTTGTCTAGGCAGCCATGTTGTCAAGATTTCATGGATGGAGCTTCCTTGTCCTTTCTAGAAGACACCACCTCACAGCAGACTTTGTTCTTCTGGTTCTTACAACCTTTCACCTCCTCTTTGGTGGTCCCTGAGTCTGTAGGGGTCAGTTCAATTGTGTTGTAGATGGATCCATTGGGGCTGGGTACCCTATGGCCAGTTGTTCTCTGCATTTTGACAATTTGTGTAGTTTCCTGTAATGGTCTCTGCTGCATGAGAATCTTCTACACTTCTCTGTGGCTATAAGGGTAACTCTTTGGAGTACAGTTAGGAATTATACTGGCTCAGGAAAGTGCCAGAAGTAGGTTCATCTCTAGGATCCGTGACCTCATAAGCTGTGTGTAGTTTATGGACCTGTGATAATGTGATGGTTGCTGGTGGGGTGACCAGAGAAACAGCCTAAGCATGCTGGGTCGGGGAGAGAGCCGTGTGAATGTGGCAAGGGAATGTCTGGATGCCCATTATTTCTGACTGCCTTCCAAAAATCATGGCTTCCCCTTTCTCTTGTATTTCCCCAATTTTAGGTAATTCTTGTCATGCAATAACCTGGTTGTTGTATGGACAGGAATTTTGTGGAATGTAGGTCCTGCCTTGGAAGAGGTGGATAGTGATGGTACCAAGTGAATCTGCTACTGATTCCCTAAGCGAGTGGTCTCATTCTGTCTCTCTGCCATCCTTGATCTCTGTAGGCCCTAATACATGTGTGTCTCTGCTCCTATTAATGACTGCAGAGGCTTTATGTCTAATGCTTTTTTATGGAGTCGCTCAGATTGCTAACTGCAGCCATCAGCACCTTTTTTAGTGGGTCACCGAAAATGCACACTAATCTTTGCCTGCCTCCTCAGCTCTAAATCTGAGGTGGATTCACTCTTTAAACATTGCTTTCTTGAATAGAGCCCAGATTGTTAGAGCCACGGACATGATTGAATCAATAATCATTGCCAGCTTTAGTAAGTAATCTATAAAGGCTGCATGAATAGTTATTCTAAAGCACTGAGAAACCTCAGTATTTGCATTAGCTGGATACTTTGAGGTCAAAGTCCAGAGGGAGATTGCAGAATAAAAAATGGTTTCTAAGCTGAAGAGATGACATATTGATGTGACACAGCGCTAGTCTGTCCATGATTAAAACTACCTGTAAATACGATTTTATGTGTTTCTGTGGTGCTGGACATCGAGCCCAGGCCCTTGTGTGTGCTTTATAACATTTGTTTGTTTGTGTGTGTGTGTGTGTGTGTGTGTATGTGTGTGTGTGTGTGTGTGTGTGTGTGTTGTCAGGACAGCTTGCAGGAGGCATCCCTCTCCCCCCCCTACCATGTGGCTTCCAGGAGTCAGGTTTCAGTTGCCAGGCTTGGACAGTGAGCAGCTTCACTGCTGAGCCATCTCACTGGCTCCAGATGTTTTAATAACATTTGAAAATCTTCCATGACTAGATGATGGATAATTAAAATCTAACCCAGTGTAATATATTTATAAATGTGTATGTGTGTATTGCTAATGATTGTCCACTGCTTTCCAAACAACTACATTACAAAGACTTGGGGAATTTGGATATAAATTTATGTATATATATATTTATCAATTATTTATTAATAAATATTTATAAATAATTAATAAATATTATTTATAAATAATAAATATATATTTAAAATATATATATTTAATCCCGAGTAATTGAGAAAATTATCTGGATTGCAGAGCAGTAGAATATTAACCTTATTTAGGAAAGTATTCTTCCAGTTACCAGAAACATATATATATATATATATATATATATATATATATATATATATAGTATATAATAAAAATCTGTGAACTGAATGAATTCTTACTGCTAATAATTATACTCATGATTTAAATACAGAATTATGTACACATGAATGATTTGTTTATATCTTGCTCTTTGGCCAATAACTCTTTGGATTATATTAGTTTTATGCTATGGATTTATGTACTAACAGCTCAAAATTATAGCATTAATTCTGTTGGGCCTCATTATATCAAATTTGGCATGTGAGGATGGTAATTGATGTAGTTATAACATCTGCCAGTAGATGGATGACTACAACTTGTCGCCAAGCCAGATAGCGGGCTGGTGGTGAGTTCAGAATGTTCTAACACAGGCTGCAAGCAGCAGATTTGTTTTGTTTTGTTTTTTGTTTTTCAAGAGAGGGTTTCTCTGTGTAGCCCTGACTGTCCTAGAACTCACTCTGTAGACCAGGCTGGCCTCGAATTCACAGAGATCCACCTGATCTGCCACCTGAGAGCTGGGATCAAAAGTGTGTGTGCTACCACTGCCCAGCACACACAACAGATTTACTAAAGGTGTGTTTGTGCTTTAAGATGTGGGTTTTGTTTAAATAGAGAAGACAATAGAGTGATGCTAATATCCTCCTTAACAGGTAAATGTTGGGAAGATGGACTCACCCATTGAAAAGTGGAATCTAATCATTGGCAACTTGGCTTTAAAGCAGGTAAGTGACACATTTATTCATAGATCTTGGGTATGAAATTTACTATTTGTTTCATGAGACACTAAAACAATACCCTGAAAAGGTGATGACATCAGTTGATGCCCACGGCCTTTGAAAGTTACTCTATTTCTAGAAACTGATCAGCTTCTTCCAAATGTAAAACAGTATAAGTACTGAAAACCATGCAAGTACACCTTGGCTGTAATAGAGTCAGCTTTTGCATTAATATTTATACAAATGGTTAAAAATTCATTCAGTACTGTCTTAGTCACTGTTCTAGTGCTATGAAGAGGCACTGTGAACAAGGCAACTCTTACAAAAGGAAGCTTTAATTGGGGGCTTAGTCCATGATCAGTCCGTGGCTGGAGGCAGGCAGGTATGGTGCTTTAGCCGAGAGCTTTACATCCTGATCTGTAAGCAGTGGAGAGAGACTGGGATTGACGAGGGCTTTGGACATCTCAGTATCCTCTCCTAGTGACACACCTCCTCCAGTAAGGCCACACTTCCTAATCCTTCCCAAGCAGTTCCTCTAATGGGTGACTAAGCCCCCCAAGTATATGAGCCTGTGGAGGCCATTCTCATTTAGACCACCACATGTACTGTGCTATCTCTCTACTCTTATTTATGACTGTGATTTTTGGGGGGAGACAGGATCTCATGTATCCCAGGCTGGTCTTAAACTTTTTATGTAGGTGAGGATGACCTTGGATTTCTGATTCTCCTGCCTCCTGAGTGCTGGGATTACAGACTCGTATCACCAGTCCTGGTTTATGTGGTGATGGAGATTGAACCAGAGCCCGTGTATCCTAAGGGAGCACTCCAGCTGATCCCTATCTCTAGCCTCATCTTTATTATTTTTGAGACAGATTTCCAGTGTTGCTCAGGGTGACTTTAAACTCAGACAAAAACGCTCCTAATTCAATTTCTGAGGCCTGGCATCATGCCCTGCTTTTTGTGTTTTGTTTGTATTAATTTTTGGTTTTGAGTTGATATCACTGTTTCTCGGTCTGATCTCAAACTTCTGGGTTCAAATTAATCTCCCCTGGGTCTACAGGAACACAATACAAGACTGCCTTCTTTAGTTGTTGTTTTGTTTGTTTGTTTGTCTGTCTGTCTTAGAGACAGGGTTTCTCTGTGTAGCTTTGGAGCCTGTTCTGGAACTCACTCTGTAGACCAGACCAGGCTGGCCTCGAACTCACAGAGATCCGCACATTAGTTGCTTAATTAAACTGAGTTCTTTCCTGGATATTGTGGTCACCCATTTGTTCATGTTGATTTTCCTTAGGTAATGTTGCCATTGTTGATATTAGTAAGTCCGTTCAGTTCTCAGTAACACACATAATGAACCAGGAATTATGTATCTTCTGTGGCTCCTTCTGCTCTGCGGTCTTTCTGCCTCTTCACCTGTTCTCTCCTGACTCTTAAGTAAATGACTTCAGCTGTCATGTGTGAGCAGCAGGACTATGTACTCATTTTAATGTTAGTTCAGCTAGGCCATAAGATTGAGAGCATGGTTGTGGGAATATAATTTCATGCATTGCATTTCAAGGACAAAAGAGTTCCTGAAATAAAGGCCTTTTCATATCTGTGCAGTTATTCTAAGTTGTAGGAATGGAACTAAGAAAGTCTGAGCCCTAACCTCGCCTCTGACATAAACCAGCTGTAGAGCCTTTGTTAATTTACATAACTGTTCTGGGCTTCAGTTCTGTCCTTTCAGTCCTAGTATTTTGTTAGAAAAGTCTAAGAACATTTCCACTTGACCATGTAGGAATCTAGGCGGGCTGGTAAAAACATTTTCGGACTGGACTAGGTAGGAATATCAGTATATCAGTGGGAGAGTGCTTGCCTAACATACAAGAAGTTTGTCCCTAGTAACAAGAAAAACACAAAACCTAGACCCTTCCAAATTTTTATAAATCAATAGAGTTCCTAACAAATCAAGAAAGCCAAAATATATTGGTTTAAATACTGAACACTGAAGCCATGACTGTCATGAGTGATCTATACAGGTCACTGTGACAGTCCCCACCTCAGCCTCTGGCATTCTGTCTTCCCGTAGTCTCCACCCTCCCTTGCCAGCCTCTTTTGCAACTGTTGTTTAGGATGGTTGCCAGAGATGGCCAGGAATGTTCTGGTCCTAGTTGCCAAAATTCAATGCCTCTTTGGCTTCCTCCCCCAAGGATGTGTGATAAACAGGGACCTTGGACAGATCCATCAAGACACAACAGCTGCCCAACCAGTGAGGCAGTGGTTGGTTGGAGTGGTTGCCACAGACCAAAGAAAGAGGAGAAGATGTGGCTGCGGGCTGGGGTAGGAGAAAGGTTATTCTCTGCATGAAGCTTCACCAGCAATGCTTGTGAAGATGAATGTGGAGTGCTCGGTTAGGACAGACCTGGAGAGATGGCTCAGCAGCTAAGAGATGTGCTGTTCTTCCAGAGGACTTCTCAGCACTCACCAGGTGGCTCACAACCATCTGGACCTTCATTCTGTGGGGGCAGAGGCAGGCAGATCCCGTGAGTTGGAGGTCAGCTTGGTCTACATAGTGAGTTCCAGGGCAGCATAGTGAGAGTGTCTCAACAGCAAAATCAACAAAAACCATGTGGTCCCACATTCCACACCTGTTGCCATAGATTGGGGCAATTTGAGAGGCCACTGTCCTAAGTATTGTAATTTATTTTAAAATGGTGTAGGTGACCTCGGCAGGTTGGAGCCGAGGAGCCCCAGAGTCACGCCACAAAACAGAACTCACATGGAGGGTTTATTGGGGAGACAAGAGCTGAGGAGAGAAGAAGAGAAGGGGGCAGAGGCCAGTCCCCGGGGAAGAGAAAGAGATGGGAGGTGGGCAAGGCCCACCTTTTATAAAGGAATTTAACAAGTGCACACAGGGCATGCTCTTAGTGTTTGCAGCCGAGGACATATCCTGTCAGGACCCTGAGGCCCTGTACAGTACAGATGCCCGAATACTAACATTAAGTGCTATTAAAACTCAAATCCACTAACCTCTTTAAAATGAAGGCAGTTCCGTTACCATGCACAGCACTTCTATCTTGTAATGATTAACTAATGAAAAGGTAATGTTTTAAAAATCACTGATCTGGATTTTACGAACTATTTTTAGGTCCAGGCCACAGTGGTTGGTTTTTTAGCGGCCGTGGCAGCGATCATATTGGGCTGGATTCCAGAAGGGAAGTATTACCTCAGCCATTCCATCCTTCTGTGCTCTAGCAGCGTGGCAACCGCCTTCATTGCATCACTTCTGCAGGGTAGGTGAGCTTGTGAGTGTCTGCTTGGCAGTTTTTAAATTTTTAATAAAAGGCTTGATTTCCCAGGATGGTGACTTTTTTTTAATTCATCTATTTATTTTACATCCTGGCCACAGCCCCCCCCCCCCATACTCCCCTCCCAATCCCTTTCCCCCATTTCCCAATCTCCTCCTCTCCCATCTCCATCCAGGAAAGGGCAGGTCTCCTGTGAGCATCAACAAAACATGGCATATCAAGTTGCAGTAAGACTAAGCACTTCCCCATGTATTATGACTGTGCAAGACAACCCAGTATGAGGAGTAGGGTCCCAAAAGCCGGTAAAAGAGTCGGAGACAGCCCCTGTTCCTGCTGTTAGGATTCCCACAAGAGGACCAAGCTACACAGCTGTAACATGTATGTAGAGGGCCTAGGCCAGTCTCATGCAGGCTCCCTGGTTGTCAGATCAGTCTCTGTGAGCCGAGCCCTTATGGGCCCAGGTTAGTTGATTGTGTGAGCCTTCCCATGGTGTCCTTGACCCCTCTGGCTCCTACAATCCTTTCTCCTCCTCCACAGGATTCCCAAACTCCGCCTAGTGTTTGGCTGTGGATCTCTGCACCTGCCTCCGGGATGGTGACTTTTAAAATGGTATTTGTTCATGATGAAAATGGCCACATGAACTTTATATAATCTTAGTTCAGATGTATTTTTATGTTACTATTTATTTATTTATTTGGTTTTTCAAGACAGGGTTTCTGGCTGTCCAGGAAATAGCTCTGAGGGCCAGGTTGGCCTCAAACTCATAGAGATCCACCTGCCTTTGTCTCCTGAGTGCTGGGATAAAAGGCATGCACCATCAACACCTGGTTTATTCCATTATTTGTAAACACAGTGGAGAACAGGGTTTTGAGGTTGTCTCCTTGGCCATATGTGCTCTGGCTCAGTCTTCAATAAGAACAGGACAATGGCTCACTGTTTTCCCTAAGAGTTAAGAAAGGCCTTCCTGGAAATCACCTGGACTTTCTGGCCTGTCACAAGATTTCTAGGAATTCTCAGTTTCAAAAGCAATCCCTCATTTAAATTATTGGTTGAGGGTACTTCCTGCACTCCCAGAGGACCTGAGTTCAGTTCCCAGAACCCACATGAGGCAGCCCACAACTGCTTGTGATTACAGCCCAGGGTAAAGGGTGAATCCAATACCAAGTGCCTCTGAGGGCACCTGCACTCACGTGTGTACTCTGTCACACAGACACACAAGTATGCACATTAAAACACCCCAAACTTTAAGTGATAATATAAATATAACCTTGTGTTTATGCTTAACATAGCATATTTATGGTTATATGTTAAAAAACAGAAGTTAAAAATTAACTGAGCTGGGCAGTGATGGTGTACACCTTTGATTCCAGCACATGGGAGGCAGAGACAGGAGGATCTCTGTGAGTTAGAGGCCAGCCTGGTCTACGGAGTCAGTTCCAGGACAGCCAGGGCTATACAGAAATCTTGTCTCAATACCACCCCCAAATAAAAATTAACTACATTAGAATTTACATTGAATTGTCTTCTTTATATTTATTGATATGAGCACTATACGAGGCACCTTGTATGTTGTGGGATGTAGTCATTGAAGCTCAGTGTTTACTATGTTTTTTTAGCTTGGTTTTCTGAGATAAGGTTTCTCTGTGTAGCCCTGGCCATTCTGGAGTGCTCTATGTAGACCAGGATGGCCTCAAACTCATAAGATCTCCCTGCCTCTGCCTCCCAAATGTTGTTTGTGATCTAACGCATGAGCCATCAGGTCTGGATAGTTCTAGCTGCTCTATCTACCTATCTATTTATCTACCTATCTATTTGTCTACCTACCTATCTATCTATCTAATTTTTTTTGAGACAGGGTTTCTCTGTGTAGCCCTGGCTGTTTTGGAACTCACCCTGTAGACCAGGCTGTTCTTGAACTCAGGGATCTGCCTGCCTCTGCCTCCTGAGTGCTGGGATTTAAAGGTGTGCACTTGTTGAGTCTGAGTTCATATGAGTTCATATGCAAAAGCAAAGAGCCTTTATTGCAAGCTAGAGCTTGGGCTTCCTGTCCATTCCAACACAGCAGTTGGATAGGGAGAGCACTGAGATCAGTTGTGGCAGGGTTTTTAAGGAGTAAAGGATGGGGGTGTAGGGGAATTCCAGATTCAGATGGGGGTTGAACTCCTGATCGGGCAGGAGTGAGGCAATAGAAGTTTTGTCTAACAGTCTTGGTATTAGTGTTGCTGCAAGGAAATTGGCAACCTATATACTGATCGTGTAAGCTATTTTTTATGTCCTAGAGCATTTAGTACTTGTTTGTCTCAATTCTGATTGGTTCTCTGCAGGGTATAGTTTGTGGTTTCTCCTGGTTATTATAATAGTGAGGCCTAGTCCCAGTATTGTTAGTCTGCAGCCTATTATGGCTGCACTAATTTTTGTTTGTTTGTTGTTCAAGACAGGGTTTCTCTGTGTAGTTTTGGTGCCTGTCCTGAATCTCTCTCTGTAGACCAGGCTGGCCTTGAACTCACAGAGATCTGCCTGGCTCTGCCTCCCGAGTACTGGAAAGGCGTGCACCACCACTGCCCAGCCACTTCATTAATGTTGTTAGGCCTCTCATTCCTGCTCCCTAGCACTTCACTGTAGACAATAAGATGAAGCATTTTTAGTTACCATATATCAGTGTATTTGTTTTATTGCTATGCATATAAATAGGATTTCTCTTTTTTAGTGTTTTCATTCTTCAAGGGTTAAAATGAAATCTGTGGTCTGATATATATGTATTACATTTAAAGCATATGCCTCATTAAATTCAAAATTTTAGTTTTAACATAATTTTACAGTAAATGCAACATTGAGCGGATGATATTCTTCTGGGATCTCTTGCAGTTTGCTGAAGGGCATTTTGCCAAAGGGGTTACAGTAAAGTATTTTGTTTGCTTAATAAGTTTATTTGAGCATTCTAACTGGAACTGGTGTGCTTTTTCTCCAAGCTGTGTATTTCCGTGTTTGGGGACTGGATCTTCTCAGGCAGCATCAGAAGTAACAGGTGTTCTTTCTCCTAGGAATAATAATGGTTGGAGTTATCGTTGGCTCGAAGAAGACAGGCATAAACCCTGACAACGTGGCCACACCCATTGCTGCTAGTTTTGGTGATCTGATAACTCTTGCCATATTAGCTTGGATAAGTCAGGGTTTGTACTCCTGTCTTGGTAAGTTGACTTGAAACTAAACATGGCATTATTCAGTCTTTAAAAGTCAATGTTGTAAAATGTCATGAATCCCTGGTGACCTTCATCTCTTTAGAACCTGTGGTAGGATTGACTAGAACACTGTAACTTGTACATTTATTATGTGGTGTGGTTCTTGTGTGTTTTTTTCTCTTACTGAGTTCAGAATGCTAAGAAAATGTTTATCCTCTGTACATTCTGTTTTCTTCCTTTCTGCCCTGCCCGGCTTGCTTTCTTGAGGTGGCCTCATTCATGTAGCCCCAGGCTGTCCTCAGACTTTCTATATGGACAATTCTTGATCCTCCTGTTTCTGCCTCCTAACTCCACCTCCCAAGTGTTTGGGTACAGGTGTGTGGGATACAACACCTAGGAATCCTTTAAAATTTCAGACACGGTGGAGGACCGTAGAAGTTCTATGTGCTCCCCTGTTTACACTTTCTGCTGTTGAAGTTTAACACAGGCCTGTCGTACTCCATGGTGTCTGTGCTTCCTTCTTTTTGGAATCACTCTACACTGTTCTCTTACGCATTTTGAACATGATAGTACAGGGTTACCATGGTTTTTTTTTTAAATTTACCAGTGAGTTATTTTTCCCACATCAAAACCCCATACTAATAAGTAGCTTCAAGACAATTAAAAACAAAACAAAAATCCTGAATACTAGGTGAAATTCGAGTCATCTTATATACACATTCCTGATGAGTACTGATGGGAACTGTGTTGAATCCAATGAACTATTTTAACTGGATCGTGTGTTCTGGAACCAGTGTTAGTGAATATTATTTGTGTGCATGAGTTAAAGGCAGAATGTTAGTTGTGCTTTCATTTTCATGCCAAATTTGTGTGTATGCACATGCATGTGTCAGATGTCCAGTTTAAAAAGAACCCACAACTTTACTATAATAAAATTATTTACAAGCCAATCCCAAAGCAAATATTTATTCAGAAATTGCTCATGAGTTCTATATAGCCTTATGATATAATTTTGAATACATCTAAAGTATATTTAAAGTTTGAAGAGGAGCTTCAGATGCATTTTGAACCAGAGAAAGGCTTTTTCCTATCAAATGCAATAAACTTTGTATGACTTTGGCAATAGCATGGAAAACTTAATTCAGGATGTGGTTTGATGGATGACATACAGACATACTCTGTGTGTTCAGATAAGTCGTTTCTCACTTGAAGACAAAGAGGCATTGCCTGAAATAATGGGTAAAACAAGAAAGGCCAGTGCCCTGAGCCACCATTGTGTTCCCATTGGCTGTGGCTCTCGTCACTGTACAGCATGCCGTGACTGACCCTCAGGGACTGTTCCATTCCCTTTCCTCTCAGGAAACACAGAAAAGGGAGTTATGTTACTAAAGAAATAACCCTAAATCTTGTCTAAGTTTTATTGTTGGGATAATAAATTGATTCTGCTTTTTCCTTCTCTGAATTATCATGCAATTTTGGATATAGATGCTAGACTTAGGGAGTAAATGTTAGCTTATAGCTGGTGTTGGAGAATGCGATGTGTTATTCTCTTGCTCTGTTAAACTCCCTGCCCAACCTACAGGCAGACATCTGAGCAACTTATAGACCTAACCTGAAGGCCAGGCTGTTCATTGTAGTGGAGAAGGGAGGTTGTCTAGCCAGGCATGGTGACACACACTCGTAATCCCAGCACTTGGGTCGCTGAGGAGGGAGCATTAAGAGTTTGGGGCGGTAGATGAGAACCTGTGTCAAGACTGTCATCAACAGGAAGCCAGTAAGAGCCTGAGCAAGGTTCTCAGTGCCCTTTGACTAACATTTGAAGTTAGAGAAGTTTCTCCTGCTTTGAGGAGGAGATAAGAGAAAAGGGACGCACACACACACACACACACACACACACACGAGGATGAAGGGTTTCCACCCAGCACTATTAAGAGGATAGAAATACCACAGACTAACTGGGTGTGATGGTGCATGCCTGTATTCCCAGCACCCACATGGCAGCTGTCACATGACATCACAACTGTCTGTAATTCCAGTTGCAGGTGATCTGATGGCCTCATCTGGCCACCTTGTGTACCAGGCATGCAAGGGGTGTACAGATAAACTTGTAGATAAAACACCTGTACAGGTAAAATCAATAAATAAAAGACACAATCATAATGTGTTGTCATTTAAATCTTTCAATATTTTGAGTGTTATGTGGTGCCACATTAAGCTTGGGTCTTGGTAGGGTCTCACTACGTATCCGAGGCTGGCCCTCCAACTCATGCTGCCTCAGCTTCCCGAGTACTGGGATTATAGGTGTGAGCCAGCACATGAGGAGTAAGAGAAAACGCAGTTACCATAATCTAAGAAAACTGTGTTAGTAAGCATTGTTTAGGATGTTCTTTATTTGTCTTCTTTATTTGCCTTTATTTGTCTTCTGAAAGTTGGCTTTGCAGTCTTACAGACCCTTTTCACGTCATCTGTGTAATTGATGCCCTCAAGGGATTTTCTTTTTAATGGGCTACCAGTTAATTCTGCCATTAACAGCTTACAGGTGTTCTGAAATGTCATCGTGTTTGGATTGCCAAAGTGTCTGCGTCCTGAGCACTAGGGGGCCTCAGAAGATCAGCAGTTATGTGGCTGGCATTTTCATTCTGAATACAAAGATTAGAAGCAGGCAGAGTTAAATTCTAAGATCCCATTCATCTTGCTGAGAAGTTATTTTCTGAACTACACTGGAAACGCTAAGCAGTGTTTAGAGAAGAAAGAAGGATCTTTTTGGTAGTTGTAAGCTTTGGCTATGGAGGCTACACACTGCATGGCTCAAAGAAGTGGACACAGGAAACCTTCAGTTCATGAAGAGGACACAGCATTTGTAAACATGTATGTACCCATGTCAGCATTCCTAATATTGGGAGGTGATAACAGGTTGGAAGAGAAGTAGAGGACAATACAAACACTGGGGGTTTCAGCACCTCACTTTCGACAGTGGGTGGGTCATCCGGATGGAAGCGCAGTGAAGAAATGCCGGACTTGGAGTGGACACTAATCCGCAGGAGCCCGACAGCCTACACGATGTTCCCTCAACAGCCGCGTGATGTGCGCAGATCATTTTCTAGAACAGACCCTATATTAAGCTATGTACAAATCCTAACGGATTTAGGAATCATGTGATGTCTTTTGTCACCATTATGGGGTGAAACTAGAGAGCAGTGCCAGAGGGAAAAGTGGAAAAGATAAATATGTAGAAATTCAACAGTACTCCTCACACAAGTAGCAGCTCAAAGAACTCAAAATGGAAACCAAACATCTTCAGCCAGATGAGAATGAGAACAGTGTTCCAAAGCTACGGGCGCGGCACAGGCGATCCTAAGGAGGACGCCCATGGCTAGAGACACTCGTATTGGGAGGACGCTGAGGAACAAACAAAACCAAGGTCTGCAGGAGTGAAGTAAGGACGCAGTGTAATTAAACCAAGCAGGAAAACTGTGGAATAAACAACAAATGAAAGAAATGGACAGAATCTTAGCTTAGACCAAGAAGAGAAAAGACTCTAAATAAGACCAAAAAGGAAAGCACAGGCATTGTAGTCAGCACCCCAGAATGGAAAGGCTCACAGGGGCTGTGATGAAGAATTACATGCTGAAAACCTAGCCTCTGGAGAATGGGTGCATTTCTATAAACATAAACCCTCTGAGGCTGAGTCAGGAGGAAATGGAAGACATACATACATACATACATACATGCATACGTCTGCCTATGCTTATCTGCATTGTTCTAGCACTTTATTAAAGTGGCTTTCATGACTTTATGTTTGGTCAGTGATAGTAGCTTTTTGTCTAAATACAGTAGTACTATGCCTCCCCCCACACACTTTTTTAAAAAATCCTTTTTAGAGCACTACAGAAGTCAGTGGATGAGGCAGTATTTAGAGTACTGCCCGTGGCTGTACCTTTCTGTTTGAAATACAAAATTCTTGACAATACTGTGGTTTTTTTTTAATTTGATTTTAATTTTTTGTAGTACCTTTGGTGCTGTGTATATAATAGATGCTGAATAAATACTGTTTTACAAACTTTTGAAAATGATTTAGTTAATATGATTAGAATTTATTCAAATGGCCCTCTAATTAGACTTTGGCATGGCGACTGCCCAAGAATATGATTGATTGTAACAAAAGCATCCTTTGCATGAGGACCCAGGATTAGTGAAAAAGCGTAGGTTGTCTTGGCTCGGTAAAGAGTTCTGGGGATTAGTAACACTTCGGAAAAGTAAAAATGACAAGACATGGCAAGAGAGATCTGATGGAACGAGAAGACGAACTATGTAATGTGGGTTCTGCTTATGTGATTTTGAAGCACTCTTATGTGGTTTGCAGGGGAAATGCACAGGCTGTGCCCATTCATAGGGCAGTCCTTACCCATGCAGGAGTCTTGAAAAGCTGTCAGAATCTGTCCCTGGGCCAGCAGCTGGAACATCTCTACACAATGACTGTTGGCTCTTCCTTTGTTATTGTTTCATACTTCTTTTCAAAGCAGAGTTGGAGCTTATCAAGAAAAGGTTTTCACATAGGTTTAAGCTTTGGCTTTAGGGGAGAGGACGCCTGTAGGAAAAGGACAGTGTCCACCTAAGACGTAGGTGTGGGCTTCTCAAGAGAGAGTAGCAGCCAAGTGTCTTCAACAGTGGCCTCATGGAGGAGTTTGGCTGCTAGAGTGTGAAGGGTTTCTAAGGAACTCTGTTTTCTTTTAGTAAGTGAGACCATGAGGTGGGACACATTCCTGAGGACCATGTGATAGGACTACAGGCTGATTAGGTAGAGACCATGATGAGCCACATTCCTGAGGACCATGGGATAGGAGTCCAGGCTGATTAGGTAGAGACCATGAGGTGGGACACATTCCTGAGGACCATGGGGTAGGATAGGAGTCCAGGCTGATTAGGTAGACACCATGAGGTGGGACACATTCCTGAGGACCATGGGGTAGGACTCCAGGCTGATTAGGTAGAGGCACAGGTCACGAGTG